CTCTCTCTCTCTCTCTCTCTCTCTCTCTCTCTCTCTCTCTCTCTCTCTCGGTTGTCGTCTCTAGTAATTTATCATTTATTAGCTACCACTTCGGCACGGACGCTTTCTGGACCTGTCAAATAAGGGCGGAAACTGGACCGGAAAATCATCAATCTGGAACATGCAAATTGGGACCGAGTACCGATCCAAGCGCGGTAGTAGATTCGGAACTTCGAATACATGGCCTACCGAATATTCGCGTCGCCGACGCTTCCATCTTTCCCATTGTGCCAAACTCAAATCCCATCGCCGGGATCATGATGGTGGCTGAAAAGGCAGCGGATATGATAGACAATGCTTGGCCGCAAAAATATTAAATGTACAAGTTTTGATAGACTGGAGTGTAATAATAAAAATGGTGTTTTCAATTTTGAGTAGTAATTTTAAAGCCCGACTTTGTACTTTGTAGCATCGTAACTACAGATTTCCTGACATTCGCGCACTCAGCTTGCGTTACGCAAGATCAGCCGTTGAGGATCCGATAAACATGAACGATATATGCTGCATTATACAAGTATAAAATCAACGTACACGTAAACACGATAACTATACATTTATAGCACACTTAATTAATCGTGAGCTTGACAAAACATCTGGCAGCTCTTAAAAAAAACATGCTGTAACATCATTTACATTTGCTATTTAAAAAAATAAAATATGCAAGAAAATTAGATTTACATGTATGTCGTAACAACACAATCACATTTGAAGACTTTGTATCACGATAAGATTGATGTCAAAACACGAGAAAAGGAAGGGGTAAGACACCTTGAGATTCTCATTTTTCAAGTCGAGTCTTTAGAGATTAGAATACTTCAGTTTGAGTCGAGCCGTTGCTGTAACATACCATCATCTCGGTAAGCTCTCTCATCTGTTTGTCTCATCTTGAATATTTATTTATAATATCCGAGCGTTTATCTACCGACATATCATATCCATAATTGAAGACATTGCTGCAAGAACGAGGTAAGTCCACATTTTATGTTTCCGAGATAAACGAAAAAAACTTTCCCCCGTTTTCAAATTTTGTTTCAGAAAGTTTATTTATTTTACATTATATTCTTCTTAGCTATCCATTAGCGCATACTTATTCAAATAATAACAAACTTTCAAAATGCATGAAATTTTAACACTTTTAATTTGGACTTGCCTCGTTCTAGCACCAAAAATGGAAAAAATGCCTAGCAACAGAACATAAACTAGCCAAAAATATTTGAAAGTAGTACTTTTTAGATAGTTATAGTAATAAATTAGTAAAAATAAATAATAAACTATTAAATTAGCTAATTTTTTTCCGCACTTGCCTCGTTCTTGCACCAATCTGCTTAGAAGGGCAAGTCCAAAAATCTCAGTTTATTTAACTAACAATGCACTTACGTACGTCGTTTTTACACCAATCGATCGGGCTTGGAACGTTGCATATAATGGTGTTAAAATATCATTTTCGCCAAAAGTGAACTTACCTCGTTCTTGCAGCAATGTCTTCAATTAGACTCGCCAAAATTAAATGTAAAATTCTATTTACAGTATTTACAATATTATGTAATCATATAGTGTGTTATTTCCATTATCCAATGGCATATATGTATTCAATTATTTTTAGCATCTTTATGACATCTTCACAGCGTTAAGAAATGATAAATGATAAAGATCTGTTATGCAATTAGCAATCTGTTTATGTAATCACTACTATAAATTAACGTATTGCGATAGCTTCGATAAAGACTGCGCCTCTAAGCCAGTTAAAGTCAACTAAATCTTGCTTTTCGACTTTTGAAGAGTTGTTTAAGATTCGTTATCTGTGTCTTCATAAGGTTGTAGATTTAAATAAGGCATACTCGCATCTCCACGTTCGATTTCTATTTTTACGTTATCTTTATGATATAACAAGTATATCGTAAGAATTTAGATATAAAAACAAAATACTTATATATATAAACAACCAAATTTTATGAAATACTTACGTCTCGACCTAATTTCCGGTCTTTGTCAAGTAACAAAGGTAATAAAACTGAAAATACGCTAGATACAGAGTCATTGCGGAAAACACGACGAGTTTGTGAGTTTGCGCCAACAAATTCATAATTCAAAATGTTTCATAAAAATAGAGAGCAATATTATAAAGAGAGTTTATGATACACAGGAGCAGCATATGAAAAAAAATATTTCCATTTTTGTTTTCCATTGTACAGAATTAAATCCCAACATGGAGGCGTGTGGGGCTCAGGTCGCATGCTCTGCAGCGGGTGGCACGCCCGCGAATATGTTTGTACAGCTGATACAAACGCTTTTGACGGCTCAATGCAGCTTGGGTAATGGCATTTATCCTCCGGACCGTTTGGAAGAGATTGCGGCATTTAACGGAGAATTCGACTTCGTGATTGTGGGCGGTGGAAGCGCCGGGTCCGTGCTGGCCAATCGTTTGACCGAGATAGAAGACTGGAAGGTATTACTGATCGAAGCTGGTGAGGATCCGTCGACGCTCAGCGAGGTTCCCGGGGGGTTTTTACAGCTGCTACACACGCCGGTGGATTATTCCTACGACGTCGAACCTGAGAAATTCGCCTGCCACGGTTACAGGAACAAGTTGTGCAAATGGTCGAAGGGCAAGGCTCTTGGCGGCACCTCGGCGATAAATGCCATGCTCTACGTTCACGGCAGCGACGAGGATTATAACGAATGGTCTCGGTTGGGCAACGAGGGCTGGAGTTACGACCAAGTCCTGCCGTACTTTAAGAAATCTCAAAGCTGCGGTCATGCACATAGCGACGAGTGGAGAAGCAAGTATTGCGGTCCCGACGGACCGTTAAGTGTCAGGTATTATAACTATAGCCAGCCAGAGGTACAGGAGATGGTCATGCGCGCCGCTCGTGAGGCGGGCGTGCCTACACTGGATACCATCAACGGTGACAGATTTGTCGGGTACGGCATAGCTCAAGGAACCTTGGACAAAGGTCGCAGAGTGAGCACTGCAAAAGCCTACCTGTCGCCGATCAAGAACAGGAGTAATCTCTACGTGATCAAGTCGAGTCGCGCCGACGCTATTCTCCTGGATAATACTCGAGCGGTCGGAGTACGCGTGACTTTGAAGGACGGGAGGTCGACCGATGTGAAGGCCTCGAAGGAGGTGATCCTGTCGGCCGGCAGCATCGCCAGTCCACAAATCCTGATGCTCTCGGGCATCGGGCCGAAGGAGCATCTGCGCGAAATGGGAATACCTAGTGTCATCGATCTACCTGTCGGCAAAAATCTTCAGGATCACGTCTCGTGGTACGGCTTGTATCTGACCTTCAAGAACCGGAGCGCGACACCGCCGTCGCCTACACACGGCCTGGACGTGACTTACGATTATTTACTGAACAATCGAGGACCTCTGGCAACTTCCATCAGTCACGATCTCATGGGTTTCATCAACGTGCACGATCCGAGCGCCAAGTATCCCGACATACAGATTATTCACTCTCACATACCACAATGGCACATACCTTTAGTTATCGAATATGTCAATGGCTTTAACGTGGACACGGAGATAGGACAAAAGATAATAGAGATGGCAACAGAGGCGGATCTGCTGCAATGTTATTCGATTTTGCTGAAGCCGAAGAGTATGGGTGAGATACGGCTACGTAGCAAAAATCCGGCGGACCCCGTTAGGATATACGCAAACTATTTCACCGAGCAGGAAGATTTGGATACGATGTTGAAATCCTTGGACTTTCTAAAGAAGATGCTCGACACTGAGACGTTCAGACGACACGAGGTGCAATTGCATCACCTGGACATTTCCGATTGCCGTCACACCAAACCCGATTCCGAGGAATACTGGAGGTGTAACCTGCAACATATGGCGTCTACGATCTATCATCCTGTTGGAACAGCGAAGATGGGTCCTAAGGGCGATCCCACGGCCGTCGTGGATCCACGACTCAAGGTTCATGGAGTACAGGGATTGAGGGTCATCGATGCATCTATTATGCCGACAATCACCGGTGGAAATACGAATGCGCCTACGATAATGATAGCCGAAAAAGGCGCGGATTTGATCAAAGCGGACTGGGCGGTCACGGACGGCAAGAACGAGTTGTAGGAGGGAGAGGGGAGAGGGTTTGATACTTGCGTTTAAATAAGTGAGTGTACAACAACAGTTGTCTTAGTCGTAAATTAAAGCACGCGCGGAAAAGTGTGAGTTTTCCGCATAAAATGAATCTTGAATCTTGAACTCTAAAGTGCTCTTTATCGTCAGTTACTCTATGATAATAAAAAGAGATATTACTAAAAAAAAAAATTGCGTCTCATTTCCATTTCCATTTCCATGATTCTTGGTAGAATTGTCATTGACGCGTAACAAAATAAAATTCAATTCAGAGTTGATTCAAAATGGATACGCAGTTGGAGAAGTTAATAATATGTTAAATAAATGAATGCATAGATTTGATAACGATGCGATAATATCATTAATCGTTTTAGCTTAATTATCTCAACTGTAAAAACGTAATAGCAAAAGCATAATGAAAGGAGACTCATAAAAGTATTGTATATGAATTCGAAAGATAAAGAAAAACGTCTATCTGTAAGTACAAGATGTTATTAATTATACAGACATTTATTTATTTAAAATATGTAATATTAAAAATTGTATTAATAGGCTTTGCGCCTCCTCTCTTTCCCTCTCTTAAGACTTATTAAATACATCGCGCACACGTACATATGATATACACGCATTCGTGTACCGTGGAATTGGAGTGGAAAGCCTAGATGTAACGAAAAGATTTCAAAATCGTTCGGCGAAAGTAAAACTTTCCTCGGTATGCATACGTGTAAGCAAGCATGCACAATATCTGTATACAAGGTGTAACTAAAAAAACATATATGGAACACACCATCAGATATAGCACAGGAATTTAAATAAAAAAGTCCTTGACCAATTTTTGATCTGAGCTTTCCTTTCGTTGTTATACGGCGTTAAAGTTAGTTAATCTCAGCGCTTGTCTACAGCGGGAAAGCAGGGACGTAGCGAGACGGAATACGCTGCGGAAGCAGAACGACGGTGAACAGCGGAGCGGTTCAATTTTTTTGATAGCGTATGTTGAAAATAGTTAATCGATTTATTTCATCCATTATTCGTTTCTATTGATTAATTTCTTTTATTTCCTTCTCATGCTTTTGTAAACTTTTTAAGATTCCATATCGTTGGTGACTGATTTCAATACACAATGAAATATTATCAAGTAATCGGAGGTCAAGTTAAAAAATGCTAAGTTTTAAGTTCGGAAACTGTTTTGTAATCCTCATATTAATAATATTTTGTAAACTTTTTAAGATTCCATATCGTTGGTGACTGATTTTAATACACAATGAAATATTATCAAGTAATCGAAGGTCAAGTTAAAAAATGTTAAGTTTTAAGGGAAATTATGCATAAAAGGGGCTTCCTCTCCGATTTGCTTTAGTTTTAAATATGTTGTTGGGGATGTCTTCCCGAGTCACTTCATATATATATATGTATATATATAATATGTGTATATAGAACAATGCTTAAATGTTTTAATCTATGAAATATAATGTTTAAAAAAATTGTGAATATGCAACCCCGCGTATACAGGGTGTATTCTAATTCGCGCCCACCATTTATATAGTGATATTTCTCATGAAAAACTGAGTCGAAGAGTCCCGAACCATTTTTTCGATTCACGCCTCACAAAGTAGTTATTATTATTTAAAAATTAGCGAATCCGCATCGCTTTTTAAACGGACGCACGTTCGTGAGCCACGCGTCTACTAGTGTGCGTGAGTGAGTCGCCGCGCGCCTCAGCGTTGCCACGGCCGTGTTCACGTAGCTCCGAAATAATCAATAATTGCTTTTTGCAATGAGCATGATATTTTCTACCCAGGAAGCACCTTTTTAGATTACAATTTGATATTAGTTGTACTTTCACATAAGAAAATTGTAAAATGAAATAACTGTGGTGATAGTGCCCCCTGTTCCGCCGTCATCCGAGTTCCGATTTGACCAAGATTTTTAAATTAATTTTTTTCACTATGAAAAATAAAATTTTAAATCTCCAAGAATTCTTTTAATTACCAATTTTAATATTAATAAAAACGTTTTAATAATATCTTTATGCAAAAATGGACATCAAAATGGAGTTAAAGTATTTTTTAATCAGAACTGTTACCCTCTTACCGCGCATGTTTTAGCAACTTGACGATGGACTCATCAACGAAACGCGAGGCACTTCGTCTCAGGGCTGCATTCGAAAACACCATCGAAATGTCCTATCCCAGGTAGCACGAATGTTCCATGAATGTTTGTATAT